TTATAATCATGTGTATGACGTCATCGTTATAAATATCATCTAGAATATAAATGAGGTTGACAGATGTCAAAATCTAAAATATATATCACCAGTTTTACTCGTATATTCTTATTGATCTCTAATAGAAATAAATGGTAAATTCATAAACTAAAGACTAAATTTACAGATCAACGAAGCAACCTTCGAAGAGGAAAAGAGATCGCTTTCATCCGAAAGTTCTTTACAAACTCTTGGGAGCGACGTCCAGAGTTTCGAGCAGCTCCAAATTCATTTTTTTGGCAGAATTGAGACTAAAATATATCATATTTTAATCATATCGTGATGTTAATATCCTGAAATGGTTAAGCTGCGATGTTTTGTCTTTATATTTGAAGCCTTTCTCATCTCTTCCGCTCAATTTTAACTTTGAGCTACTTACTGAGAGAATTTTGCTGAAGTGAAACGAAAACAATGCCCTTAAAAGAATAAACTATGCTGTTCTCTCTACTCCTGTGCTCTAAGATATAGTTCATGCAACAAGCATATAAATCTTGATGTGAAACTTTACTTTGAAAGCCGGCAATGCTTAGCTAAACTGCAAAAAAGGTCATGGAACGGGCGCCATCACAAGTTGATCCGGCATCGTCAAGTGTCAAGTATCGAACATTAGTAGTCAAACATACCTTGGGTTGTGCAAATACATATCTCCTTTTGCAGAARCAGCTATTAAACAAAGTATTAAAAGTTTCTCCATCTTGAACAACTCAATTTTTAGTAGAAAATCTATCAAATGTGGATTGAGTGCAGTTCTGTAGGTGGTCATACACATAACATGACTGCTGCGTGACACATGAACTGCCATATATGGTCATGTTCGACCCGGAAAGAAAAWGTAWTRCGTCAAACACAAACAAAGAAGACTGATTTGYGCAATCTTTCGACTCAGCATAAGCACAAACGATACATTATAAGSTTACTATTTATTTTCTAAATAAGTAAAAGTTTCAACATAGAAAGGAAATGAATGATGTCACTCGACTAAATTCTATTACATTCTATACAGCAAAGCAGCTCAAAACAATCCCTTTTTCAGATTACACAAAATATTTACAAAAAGCTGAATTAACATTTTTTTTTAATCAACGAAATCGAAATCAAAATGATATGTCCTTTCCAGCACTAGAGCTTGTCACGCAATGATGCTTACGTCACAGTATTTCCCGCCACACAAAWAGTGCGCGAGCGCGACTTTGCACATTTCTCGGTCCCTTTTCTCTACGCAAGTTGGCAAAATACTACAAAACATCAAAGCATTTCCTGAACTTTTTCAAATGGTTTGCAATTGTAATCGATGATTTACTGCATCAATGAATTGGGTCGGTGGAGCAAGGTAGGACAAAATATTAATTTGAACAGAGACGACTCGAGTTAAAGCAAGCAAAATATTACAAGCGTGTTTGATTTCCTTTTTCAAATTTTCCTTCACAGAAATCGCATCAAACTAAAACATGAGAGAAAAATTCAAAAGGTTAGTAAAAGTACCTCTATTTGATGAAGTTAATTTACATCTATTATATTTTTGTTAATAATATGTAGGAGTTTTTTGAGAGGAAACGCCACAGTAAAAAGGCGATCCGCGATGAAAACCAAGGAAAAATCCATCAAGAAAGAGAAGGAAGAAACGGAATAAGTCAAGATCTAATAGCATTACAGGCACTAGCTAGTGCTCATGATACGAAACCAAATCCTAGTAAGTTACGAGAGTGATTGCATTAGTAATGAATAAAATAATTAAGCTTAATATCTGAAATCTAATTCAAAACACTTGCTCTTCTGTATAATCTAGCCTGACTAGTTTTGACACTTTTATCGGTTCAAAAAAAATAGTTCTGATAATGTGTACGATTTACTTGACTCCCTGCTGAAAACGGGCTRAAATCTAATTTACATTGCGTCTAACTGACTTTGAATAATGTATATTTTCTTATCAGGAGAAATAAGGAAACCTCTTGCCCTTAATTTAGACGAGCCAAAGCGCACTGGAAGAGATGCACACAGGCGATCGTACGCAGTCGAGCTTCCAGAATCACC